CAAACACTTTACTTCATATACAAACAATTCCTCCTTAAACTTCGTCATAAGATTTTTTTCTCAAAAAAATGTGTTAAGTACTACTATTCATATATTTAATTTACTAAAATTAACCCAAATGCCTTTTACAACATTATTAAATATGTTGGTTCTTTAAAAATATATTTCTTTATTCAAGATAAGATTTGAAAGACCTATGTAGTTTTGTTAAATAATTAAATCAGTTGCATCATTTTTAAATTCATTTTTAAAAGGAATCCTTCGTGTTCATTTTCAAGATATTAAGTAGAAACAACATCTCTAGTTCAATTAATAATTCAAAGAATTATTCTCTCTTGATTGGCACACTATAATCGCAATGGTTTGAAATCATATGTAGCACCCAGATCGAAAAAGACCGAACGAACAAATGATAATCAGAAAGCCATGTTTCAAAGATCAGTAAATGAATTCCCACGTGGACTATATGACCATCAATCGAAAGTTCAAAACCAAGAGTCGCCACTTGGTTTTAAGGTCTAAAAACCTAGAATGACTCCACAAATAAATGTATTAGACCATTATCACCAAAGAACTCGACTTAAGAGATAGGTACAAAATGAGAAGGTGTTGAACACCATTGAAACAATCATACTATCTATTGCCTCTCACTGAAATGCGCATTGCCAAACCAAAGACGGCTTGATGTCAAACATTATAACAAACAAAAGCAACACAAATTCAAGAGATTAAATGAAATGGTGCATGTAGAATCCGTAATAGAATACGTACAAAAAAGTGAGTTTAGTATACAAAATTTTGAAAACAACCCAAAAATCTGGTTATGTCGAAAACAACGCCCTTAGATTGATAGGAAAAGACCAATAGTAATATGCTCAATCCGATGGTGAAAGGATAATGCTACAAATCTCTTTCCATGTCAATGAATTAAAAATGGTGATTCAATCAAAAAGAAAAAAGTAGTAGAGATAAAAAGAAAGTCACCTAACAAATCCGGAGAAATCTATATGCAACAAAACCATGGATGGTTGGATCCCATATGGTTTATGTGCTTACAACAATAGAAAAAAAGAAGAAGAATATATAAATAATTAAAAAGAAATTGCAAGAATCTCAAGGGAAAAAAAAAAGGAAAATAATTAGAATAAAGAAAAACTAAGAAAATTATAAACCTACTAACCTTTTGATTATTTTTTCATGGGAAGTGCTTTATTGCTTGCCTCAGATCCTACTTGACTTCTAGAGGAACTCCAGACATGCCTATGGATTAATTCTCAAGACGATAGAAGAGCACAAAAACTTTGAACTAAGGATGGCCATTTTTCACAGTCAGTGCAAAACAGTCTTTTGATTCCTCTTTTCAAAAGACCTTCCTTGAATAAGATTGAGTTCCTAGGATAGGTAAAAGTATAAGGTGTTACCGAAAAGGCAAACCAAGTGGAGGAGGAATTGGGTTTCTAAAAAATTATAAATAAACAACTAACCCAATAAATAAATATATATATATATATATAACATCTATTGAAGAGAAATTAAAGCCAAACATAAAAGAGTAAAATGAAGTGATGCATAAGAATTTAGGAAGAGAGAAATCAAATAAAGAGATTTAAAGTGGTTTGGCTCAATTCAAGCCTATGTCCACTTCTCAAGGGTCTCCTCGAGATTATTTCACTATTGTTCCAATATATGATCTTTAGAATAAGGTTTTAACACCAAAATCCTTAATCCAGAAGCTGGATGTCAAAACTTTCAAGTTTCCTTAATTACCAAGAATAGAGAAGTATACTTCTTATTTACACAGGTATGGAGATATTGTATAGAATTAAACACTCTTACGATAGTAAGTAATTACAAATGAAGATCACAAAGCACTCTATAAAATACAACATTGAGATATATAGAGAACAATAATTTCAACCACTAGGGATTTAATAGTAAAAGAAAAGAGAATTTACCAAATTTCACAAACAAATCAACTCAACATATGATAACTTGCTTAGGACCAAATACCCGGCCCTACTCAATACATGACCGGCCTCAGCTATCTTACCCAAGCACAGCCGCTTATCCAAACATATTGGTGTAGTTTATTGGCAATGTCCACTCGATCCATGTATGAAGTAATTTTACATCATTTAGTCAGACAAATCAGCATTGTCAATACAAAATAACTTTACAGAATTTATCAAATGATCAGAATGTATCAACACAAAATGATTTCGCAGAATTTATCAAATGACTAGAATAATCAAGAGAAATACAAATTGAAGGTAATTAAAATAAAACTCTTTACAAAGAGATTTAGAGGAAGCATATTGTATAACACCCGAATTACCTCAAACAAATTTCCTCCGACACCAACACTTAAATCATCTGATATTTCTCCATAGACCTCCAAAAATACATATTAAAAATTCTAAGGCATAAGGTATGAAAGGTTCGGCAAAATTTACAACTCTCTTCTTTGATAAAATTACTAGCTCTTACTCTAAACATTCACACTCAAAGTTTGGTAACAAATAATTTGTGTGTGTGTGTGTGAGAGAGAGAGAGAGAGAGAGTGTGTGAGAGAGAGAGAGAGAATTGAGGATTTCTATCTCACTTGGCTCAATTTATAATGGAATAATGCTTGGGACCCCCTTTTGGGGGTCACCCCCTCACCCCTTTGCCACGTGGCAGGGGGTGATTGGTGGAGCAGGAAAAAAAAGAAAAAGAAAAAGAAAAGGTGACCAATGAGAGAGAGAGGGGGTCAAAGGGGGTGGGGAAAAAAGGGGGATGAATCATTACTCTTTATAATGAAAGAAAGAAGCAAAGCAAAATAGAAGAAAGAATAAAAAATTGAAAGAAAAGAAAAGGAAAGGAAAGTACAAAAGGAATGGGGTGGCATTGCCCACCATGTCGGGCTTGGAGCCCAAGTAAAGAGGGAAAAAAAAATAGAAATTAAAATAGATGAATAAAATAATGATAAATATGTGGAGATAAAAAGAGATAAACTAAATTCAGAAATATAAGAAAACATATTATGTTCTCATCTAAATACCCACCACCAAAATACTACCTTAAATAAAATAAAACATTAATACCTCTCATTAAAATATTTAATACCTCAAAAATTTAAGATTTCAATTTTCACATAGCCTATTCATATTCTAGTTTAAGTTAACCAACTCACATAAATCAAATTAAAGAAACAAAATCAGAAAAGTCCATATAATCGAAAGGTGCACAAAATGGTACAACACTGTAGTAACCAACTGATATTCTGAACATCAATAAATATATATGGTCCTACTTATACATTCGGTCTCCATTCAAGACACACAACTCTACGTTATTCCATGGGGCTTATTAATTTCCAAATGCCTTGCGCAGATTCTTAGGCTATAACTTGCATCAAGTGTACCAAACTAAAATATGGCCTATTACAAAGCTCAAAGACCCAAATCTCAATCACATCATACCGAGCCATATCCAAAACATAACTCCATGGCTTAACGGGCCTAAGGCCCAAATCTCGTAAACTAAATATAGAAAAAGCGATACTTTACTTCCAGCATTGATACTTTACTTCCAGCATTGAGTAGATTTTTACTCTTTTCATATTGGCCATTTATCATTTTTTCATTAATTTATCATGGTCAATTTTTTTACACTTCTTAAAAAATAGCAAAATATCTCTTTAGGTTAGGTCAAGATTACCAATATGCCCTCATGGAAAATTTACCAAAGTACCCTTTTGTAATTTCCATTTTGCCTCTAAGGGGCCAAAAATACCATTTTACCCTTTAAGGTTCCATTTACCATTTTACCATTATGCACAATTATCAAAATGCTCCTAAGTATCCAAATTATAAGTTTGCCGTTTAGCCCTAACATTACCATTTTATGCTTAGTGAGTCAAAATTATCATGTTGCTCCTAATATAATAAAATCCATCATTTAGTCTAATAAAAATAAATTAAGTAACTAAGGCATAAAATAGCATAAAAGTAAAACTAATAAGCTAATCTAGCTTTAAAATTCATAGAAATTTCAAAACATATCTAAAATCATGTCATCTTTTAAATATATACACAAATAATTATAAGTTATCCTAAAATAAAATTATTCCATTTTCTCTACCCTTTAACATTTTTCATTAATTTCCAAAAATTACAAATTTCTCAGAAACTACATTTTTTCATTTCCTAACATGGGTTCATATTTTTGGAAAACAATAATATTCTCTTTAGAGAAACTTTAAACCAAACATTCAAGAGAGCTTCAAAACATGGAGAAAATGGATTTCTTAACTAAAAGTTTTAAATCATGAAATAAATTCAAAAATACCCCTAACATACTTATATATAGAAAGAAAGTGGAATATCTAAACCAAAATTGGAGAAAACCCAAGCAATGGAGATAAAAGAGGAAGATAGAAGTTCCAAGCAACTTCAAGCTCCACTATCTTCAAAAATGCCTGCCAATGCTCCAAGGGCACGCTCAATCAGCTCTCTAAAACCCACTAAACACTCACCAAAGCTCTCTAATCACCAAGGAATGGTCAAGTTACTAAGGTAGGAAATCCAAACCCCTAAACCTCTAGCAATGGTGTTAGGAAACAAAAATCAAAGGGATGAGAGGGCAAGGGTACAAGGGTAGGGGAGTTGTGCTTTTCTTCCAAAAGATGACTTGAAACTCTTCTTAAAAAACTCTATTCCAATTAGTTGTTTGTTGTTGATTGCAAAATTACCTTGGTTTGTCCTTAGGAAGCAATAATATTAAGTTGCATCAATAGCTTATATTTAATGATTTATGCTTCCACTTTGGATGTTCTTTCATAAGTTATTGATGGAAACTCTACATTTTTATCTGCGTATGATTTATTAATTTCTTTTCCTTTTAGAATAATTGATGTGAACCATAAATTTCGCCTAGCTTTGAAGAGCAAAGGATTAATGAAAGCTTTTCTTTTCTTTTCTTTTCTTTTCTTTTTTCTTTTTTCTTTTTTTTTCCTGCAGATTTATGGATCAGTAACCATGAGTAACATTCTTTGCCTTTCGGTATTCCTAGGCCTTGTCTACATTCGCGAATTGAAATGGTGCTTCTCATCAGAAGTGTTGATTATTCTTATTGTTTGCATTTTGATGGGTGCCTTTGCCAGCTTCCGCACCACCTTTCCTATGTGGACATGCTTGGTGGCCTATGCACTTTACCCATTTTCGATACTACTTGTCTATGTATTTGAATATGTTGTCAAACTCTCATAGATTCAAAACACCAAAGCTAATGGAAGCACTAAGATCAATCAGCCTTTGGTTACTAAAATATGATTGGCATTACATTGTTAGAGTTTGGAAGAGTCCTTTGGTATAAGGACAGCAAAGCCCAAAGTTTGTTCTATAGCGACATGCTGGTCGCTATGAGAAAGTTTCATATTTCTTCTTAATGTAGGTTAACTTTTTAAAAAAATTACAACACAAATTATCGGAACGACAAAACCATATGTTTGAATTACTTTTATTATATTTTTTAATTGATAGTATAACACAATGACTAGTTGTTGTTGAAAACATAGATGGGTCTCAATCTTGTCTTATATGTCCCTAGCTCATCGCTTGCAAGGCAAGGAAATGGGGTTCAAGCGATTCAAGCGAGCCAAGTAGACAAGATTATTTCAATTTTGCTCATAATTGCTTATAAGCAACAAATAATACAATAAGCTTATGAGCCTTGACAAGACAAGGATTGTCTAAAGAGGGTGGGAATGTCATAAGGAGGTATCTGAAAACTATTTGATTATAAAATTTTGTTCAGTTTTATCTCATTTTTGTTATGGTTCATAAAATACGCTATACTAATTTTTCCAGTCAGGGCTCCTAAAATGGTATGATCATTATTTGCAGCATCTCAAGGGAATTAGGGGTTGGAGTCTACTCTTAGATAAGGAGAAAAATAAAATATTTAGGTGGCGACTCTGTATCTGGCAAAGCAGTCCATGTTTGGCACTACTTTTTCAAAAAATCAGTTTCTCAAAACAATTTGCCGGATTTGGACTCTTTGGTTCAGATTAGGAACCATGACATTTTAAGAGTCCGAGCTGTAGTGACCCCAAAATGAACAGAACGGGAGCTCGTTCCTCCCGGGGCGTTCGGGGACGTCTACACTGCTCGACCGATCAAGTGGTCACTCAAGCAGAGATATGAGGCTTCTAGTAATTTCACTGTAAAACTGCAAAACTCTTTGGACATTATGTTTACCGCTCGAGCGATGAAGTGTTCGCTTAAGCGATATGTTCAAAATCTCTTTATCACTCGAGCGATGGAACCGTCACTCAAGCGGTCGGTTCGGGGTCAAATATTTTAAAACTCACTTTTTGACTCATTTCTCTTTTTCTATCTTTTCTTCTTCTTACTACTCCATTCCGAAAACCCTAATACCAAAAAACTAGACTTCATCTATTTATAACAAGAACCCATCCTTGTTTCTTCATCAAAAGTGTCAATCTTGTTGAGAGCCACATTTTGAACCGATTGGATTGCGATTTGTTGAAAGTTCATTTGTTGGGTCTTTATCTCTCCACACACAATTGTGAGGTAGGAATATCTTTAACCTTGTATATCTATGTTTTGGTTTGATTATGTGTTAATTTCATGATAAGCGTGTGATGTGGGATGTGGGATGGGTGATTGGTATATTGGCATTGATGGTGATGGAGGGTTCTTGCCTTAAATTTTTTGAAATAAATGGTTATCTCTTAATGAAATACAACGTATACATCACGAGTCTTAGAAAATGAAAGAATAGAAGGAAAAGCCCCAATTACTTGTTAAACCCTAATCATTATTCATGGGTCTTGGTTGGTAAACAAATGAAAATCAATGGGTGAATTGGGAATGTGTTAAGATAAAATTAGATTTCGGGGTTTTTTTTTTTTATGTGTGATATGGTAATACCGCACGGGAAAACTATGGTGCCTACTTACCTGATCGTGCGAGGATGATAAATGTGGGAATGCTTGAGGTGTCCATGTGCCGATCATGTAAGGACGATGAATGTGAAAGGTTGGGGTGCCCATTGGCCATCCATGTGAGAACGGAGAACGTGGAATTAATTGGAACGACATGCATTGGAATATGAAATTTTGGGACTATGGGTACGGTTCATGGGTTATGCATAATTTAAATCAAATGTTTATGTACTTGGTTAAATATATTCTTTACTAGGCAATTGCTCATTCCTATCTAACAAATTTCAAGACTTGGTGAGCAGCAACCACCCCAATGAAGTAGAAGGGAATCAACCTTTTGTCGGAGTCAAGAACACATGAATATGTGATATTTTACTTCCGAGTTTTGTTTTGTTTTGGGACTAAGAGTCCTTTTTGTTCAATGAAGCCCTTGCCTTAGAGATTGCAAGCCCGTAGGGCATTTGTTGTGATTTTCTCTAGCTTTTGAACTACGAAAACTTAACATGTAATTTGTGACTCTCAACTTATAGTTCAATGAGAAAGAGAACCTTTTGAATTAATCTTGTCATCACTTTTTGTTATTATATATTTGTCATGTAGAATATTATTTTATTTCTAAAAAATTTGGGAGTGTGACAATTATTCCTCAATATTTTGGTGTTAATGCACTTTCATTATGTTAATTTCCTTAACTATTTTTTTGTGAGTTCAATGAATTATTATTATTATTATTTGTGGGAAAAGCTTTATGCACTTGTGATTGAGTTGAAGCACATTATCGCAGCCCGAGTTAAGACTCGACCCTTTATACTCTTTCATTCAGAATCTAGTGCTCATTGTGGTTGTTTATACCCATTCTTTTCTTATATTGTTATTTGGAGAGTTGATATTATGGTTGTGAGATTGTTTGAAACAAGTTAGGAGTTGGTTTTTCAAAAGGAATTATGCCTGGTTCTTTTCGGGTTCGCTTGAGTAGTCTTTTCTTTGCTTGAGCGGTCTTTGGCTCCTCCCAGTATCTGTGTTTGTAATTTGAACTTCTAGGAGTGGGGTGTTATTCACTCGAGCCATGGTTTGGTCGCTTGAGAGGTATTCTGTGTCTGACGCACGAGCAGTATTTCCTTCGCTTGAGCAATTTATTTATAGGTCTAAAATTTTGAGAGCGGGTCGTTCTTCGCTTGAGCGATGGTTATCTAGCTCGAGTGGTCTGCCCTACAAGGTTAGGTTTCTGAGAGATGTGGTTTTTTCACTCGAGCCTTGGTTTGGTCACTTGAGTTGTGTTCCGTGTTTAACACTCGAGCAATGTTTTGGTCGCTCGAGCGATTTGTGCGTATATCAATAAAGGGAAAATATATTTTCTGTGACATTTTGATTTCTCCCTCTCTCTCTCTAAAAGGTCTCCAATCGAATTTTCTCTCTCTCTCTCTCTCTCTCTCTCTCTTTCTCTAGTTCTTGTCTAAGCATCCTTATACACTTAAATCCATTAGTTGCATTGCCGTAATGTATTGGGAAAAAGTGTAGAGCTCGTAGAGGTGAACGTTCTAATTAGAAAAGTTCTACTTTTTGGCTCCGTTAAACTTTGGATCTCATTCATTTCTCCTTCTAATCTTGAGGTAGAGATTTCTTGAACATCTTGTATGATTTTTAGCCTTGTTATCTATTCCTTGAAAGCGTGGTGACTTGGGAGTTGTGGATTTGATTTAGGGTTTGGTTTGGATTGGTTTTGGGAGTATAAAAGAGGGGTTTTCAAATGGGTTTATGGGAAATGTTGTGGAGATGGTTATATTGATAAGTTGGATTGAAATTTTGAGAATCTCTTCTAAAATGTATTTTGAAAGAAATAGATGTTTTGTTAGAAATCATGGATTTTGAACTAAGGAAAAAAGGAAAAGATGTTAAGCTTTTGAAATGATATTATGAATATATCTGTTGATGTGAGAGTGGAGTTGAATATGTATTATTTCTCCTATACTTGAAAATTTGTCTTTTGCATAGAGATATCTATTTTGGACTATCGGTGGAGAATAGCTTTGATTGTTGTAGAAATTGTATGAGGATTAGGTTAATTAAAACCAATTGCTCAGACATCTTACATTGAATATTGTTTCATATTTATACATTGAAAATGTATCGTTTTGAGAAAAAAAATAGTGAATACCTTGGTGAATCTGGTTAGGGGGTAGGGGTGAGGTTGTGGTATTATTTATGTTGGCTTGTGTGTCCACGATGAAAGTCTAGAAATTCGCGTGGTTAGGTGTCGATCCTTCCGATTAGTACTGGTAAAATGGCTTTGGTAGTGCTTGTATAGCCTATTAGCAGACACATACCTAGAGATTCCTAGTCGTATGTATCCACTGCCCTGTTTTTTGATTTTGAAAAGTATTGTTTTATGAATTGATTTATAATCATGGCATTGCATTGTTTTGAAAGGGAAAAGTGCAACGTTTTGTAAATGGCATTCATATGCATTTACCATAAGACTTTGTTAAGCATTATGCAATATGTTAAGGTATTCTCTACCGGGCTTTAGCCCACCCTATGTGGAAACCAACTTTCAGGTGCTGATGGTATGCCTCGGCCAAGGACTTAGTTTGGGAGGATTTTGGAGCTAAAGGCTTATTCAATTTTGTAATGTAAATATCTATTGTACAAGCCTCAGGCTTTTTATTTGTTTTGGGCTTGACCCACTTTTGTTGTAACCAAGCATCGCCTTGGAAATATGTATCCATTAGGGCAAGGACTTCTCTTTTCTTCTTTGATTATGTATGTACATTCGTCACATGCTATATATTCATAACTTAGGGTTAATGAATGTATTAATGCATGTGATGTCATCTTTGTATTACATTAAAGAAATGAATGAAAGAGGGATTGTTTTTTTTGGAAATATTGTCTCAACAAATGATTGAATCTGATGAGCATCCGTAAATTTGTTGATGGGTTATGGGTTTATCTATCTTTATTATTTGGGGGCGTTACACACATGGTGGGTTTTAGTTGATTAACTTATGAGAATGGCATGTATGTCTCTAAAATTCACCACAGAATTATATGGGTCCCAATATAGCTACATGGCATAGTTTTGGATTACCATTTTAATGCCTCCAAATAATTAACACATGATAACCTTGATTTATTCATTCCCAAGTAAAAAGATCATAATTCTCTGACCATCGTTCATTCATCAAATCTTTATGATTGTATTCCATAATGTGTGAGAGATTAAAAAAAAATGTCTATATGCAAATATATATTCAATCTCCTCTAAAATATGAATTTATAGCATGAGAGACAGACAGCAAAGAAACAATTACAAAACAAAGCCCCTTAGGCCACAAATTCCAAGGCTTAAGCCCGGTTA